TCTCTCTCTTCCCTTTTCCTTTTCTTACCGTTCCTTCTTCTCTCTGTTCATTCGTGCTTCTCGTTCTCTCTCTCTCTGTCTCTGTCTCTCTTTCTCTCTCTTTCTCTGTCTTTCCGTCACGATCGCCGTTTTTTCTCTCTACTTGGTTCGCTGCGACCGATCTCGTGCGGGTTCGGCAAGACGGGAGAGAAGAGTTACAGGATCACCGATACCATATCTGACCTGCTCGCGATCTCCTCGCCGACGTAGAAATACGTCCGAGTTGGCCAAATGCCTCTTCCCGATTCGTTACAGCGCGAGATGCCACGCTCGAGATTAGGATGCGCTATCCGCCGTTCCTATGGAATTGCAAAGGACCGCCTTTCAAAGGTGGCTGAAGGGCGCGGAGATGGGGTGGTGGTGGTGGTTGAGGGAGGAGGGGGAGGGGGGGATCCTGCTTTCTTTCTTACTGCCACTTTTCCATTCGCTCGTACGAGGCCGAGTCGATCATTCCAGACCGATCCGAGATGTCGCGAACGACGAAGAAGTTGAAACTCGTTGGGATTCATCGATAACATTCTTATTGCGAACGAAACGCCAGAATGTTCGTTTCGATTTTTAGAAAGAGGCACTTGCACGCTCGGCGTTCCACAGTAAATTTCGATTAACGGATTTTTCATAACAGACTCTGCGTGTACCTCGTGAATTTGTTTGAAATTATTTCGAGTATACTGAAACGTCAGATCATTGTATCATATTACAGAAATTTAAAGTATATAATTTTGTATAATTTAAAATATAATATATATAACTGTATAAAATATAAAATATATAAAATATATATTATAGTTATATATATATATATTACATAAAATATAATATATATATAACTTTAGCGCGTATTTTATATTCTCTTTGACAGAGATTATGATATTAAAAATGTCGAAAATTAAGCCTGAATGTCGGCACGTAGCCTGAATATTCATAGCTTCTAACGGTGCCGGTTAGGTAGGTCAAAGATCTCTCCAAAATCCCAAAGTTTTAATTAAAGGAATTTTGAAAGACAGGATTACCATGAACAAACAAGAAAAAGGAATATAATGGAGTACTTTAGAAACCAGAAAATCCCTCGGCAAATGGTAGAACGCGGCTGGCTGATGGCTCGGACATTCGACCAATCCCTGACGTCTGTTTCTACTAATTTGATTAGACGATTAACCGTGTCCGTCGTTCGCTTCAGTTTGATTAGACCGGACGCGACGCACGTCGTAACGAACTCGACGAACGTGGTGGCGTTCGATATAAATGAGAATTACGCAAATGCATTCGGTGCAATTTATCGAAACCTCGACTGTAATTTTTTAAACTCCCTCGTTCGCGATGTGCCGTTTGTACGTGCAATTAGTTTGAAAAAAAAAAAAAAAGAAAGAGAGAAACGATTTTAGTGTCCGTGAATTTCGTTCTGCAAAAATTAAAAGAGAACGTAAAGCTCGGATCGTTCAATTCAGTGTCGGCAATATATGTAAAATTCTGTATGAAGTACGCAAGGTTTCAACAGCAGTAATTAGATTTTAATTTTTATCAAAAATAAATGAATATTTTGATTGGATGTACACATGAAATACACATTCTGCTTTAATTTTATAGTTGAAGCTCGTATTGTTTGAAATATCAAGCGAAACAATATTTTTGTTTGTATGTTTTAACGATTGTGTGAATCTTTCCTAATTTTCGATAAATGCTTCACGAGTAAAATACAAAAAGGATGTTTGCGCGCACCTGTGTTGATTATTACCTCAATTCTAAGATCTAACTTTTGAATTTACGATCCAACCTTAGGATTTGCACCGAAATCTTCAAAATTCATTCAACAAAATTTGGACACGTATGTCATTAGAAAGCTATACACATCAGGTATGCCAAAATATAATATGCAATTTAAATTACCTCGCCGATATTTTATTCGGAATATAGAATATAGAATATAGAATATAGAAAATGAAATTACACGGTTCATAAATACTTGTGTACACGGTTTGATTGACGAGCGTTTTTACTTTTGCCATCGTGAAAACTACAAACGCGAATAGTATACCTCAACTCTTTTTTTGTATTCTCTCTGTATTACTCTCTCTCTCTGCAGTGCTACCATAAGTGACGTTTTTCTCGAAAATAAGAACGAATAAAAAACATCTCTGTTGGGAGTGCTTGCGGCTCTTTTTCTCTAACAGTGGTGAATGCACCTCGACATGAACCTCGATGACTCGGTCACTGCATAATATTGCAGTTACACGTAACGCATATGCGTATGCAAAAAGAAAAAAAAAGTAATCATTCAAGAGAAACCATTAACATATGTATAGTTAATGTATTCACTTCTATCTTGTACAGAATGTAGGTTCGAGCCACGCTCCGTGAACTTGTGCAGCGATATGCATATGTAATTTGTATTTATGTATTTACGCAATTACTCCGGTTTACATGGAACTGAAATTATGAAAAATTCCATTCCATTGTTCTATGTTTATGGCCTTTTGTTTTTTATTTCACTCATGCTTAACGTTCCTTCGGCCGAGTAGGAGAAACCGTTATAATTAACGCACAAAGAAACTTTTACATATCAGACTTGCTATAAAGCTCATTACTATGCTGCGAATATTTATGCATTTGTAGAAAACTTTAGAATGCAAAACTGCACAGAACGTACGTAATGTTCTGCACAATATGTACATAATATGCAGAATGTACAAAATATATATGTATAATATTCAAAATATCTAAAATCACATTTTGGAGAATTTTATTTCACTTGTTACACTTGTTACCACCAACAAAGATAATTTATAATCACAAAAGGATTTTCAATTAGTTAATTTGTTATTTGTTGATTTATATAATGTAATTTTGAGAAATTCTTGTATAATTGTATTGTTGAATGTAAGAAGGAACTATCAATGACAAAAATTTAAAAGTGAAATATTTTTTAATATGTAGTAAAGTTACTGCAAGATTATTTATAATATCAAAAAATTTCATATTTCTGGTTAATAGGTTCATATTAATATCAATATCAATATTTTTTAATATAGAAATGTTACTTGAAATCTAATCTAGCCTAAACATGTTAAGATTTTTCTTGCATCCAACAATCTATTATCAATGTTCTATTTAATCCTCAAGTAGCATAATTTATGCTACATTACTAAAATTTAAGCGTATATTTGGTGTTTTTACAATCTCCATGAAAGAGATTGATAATAAAATAAAAAATTCCAAAATTAACTAATTCATCTTGAAATTATTATATTTCTAATTAATACCAACCAAGGTTTATAAATGTTGATAGCACCTTTACGGTTAGGTTCAGATTTTTTAAGGTCAATTAGATCGTAATCGTAAAAACATAGTCAAAAGTTCTATACATAAAACAGAGTAGAAGGTAAAAACGAGTGTTTCTTTAATTGGAAAAACGTTTCAAGAGCGAAAGAAAAGAAATTCAAATCGGTATGGAAAACGTACTTACTCGTGATGCGATGATCGAATGAAACATTATGTGAATCGCTTGCAACTGAGTTAACGAAAGTTGACCAAAGCCTGGAACCGGAAGGGAAAACTATGCCGCGGGTTATTAGTCACACTTCACCATAATTAATTAAGAGGCGTTCTTAATTTAATTTTCACTACGTTCATTGTCGCGGAAATTAGTTGGAATTATACAAGCAGCGCCGCATGACATAAAATCGTCGAACTAATGATTTACCTGCGAGAACTTGTTGCGCATTTCGTGAGATGGCGCGCCTTGGCACTTGTTTAAAACAGAGACAGAAGGAATTATTAAGTGCATTATCACAGACGAGGTGCATGTGTGAATAGACCAAGCATCTTATGGAATTTCTGAAATATTGACATACAAAAAAATCAGGATTTTTTTTTAGCGCACTTTACGCTTAAACAGCGATGAATTGGAGAACCACGTCAAACAAAATGATTATACAATTTGGTTAAGGAAAATGATATCCATTACAGTGTTGTTAATTGTATATCTCCAGATTTTGATACAAGAAATCAGTATCTAAAATTATTCTATTTAATATTATGTATTCATGTGTATACTTATCAATAAGAGTACTATGGGCACGAGCGCGGTCGTATGGTCAATCATGAGAAATATCGATTATGTTCGAGAATCGTAAGGAGTGTATTGCGTGTATTGCTTCACCGTTGGCGCTGTAATCTTTAACTAATTTGAACCCAATATGAGCGCGTTTCGCACGAAATTGTTAATTTGATTAATAAGTGGACAACGTAAAAGTGAAAAGCATAATTGAATCAATAACGATGAAAACTCGTCGACATTTTAAACTTATTTTTATATTTTTATTATTATATTTTATTTTTCAACTTATTTTTATATTCGACATTTTAAACTTATTTTTATATTTTCATTATTATATTTTATTTTTTAACTTATTTTTACATTTTTATTTTATATTTTATAGTTATTCTTAAAAAAAAAATTATGTAACAATTCACTTGATTCCATTTTAAAGCGTAAAGTCTTGACTTTAGCCTCGACAGGCTTGAATTTTATTACACGTTTAAAAAATTTGTTCATATCGGACGGGAAATAAGAATATTCTTATTTCTCGAATATTGTAAAAGTTCAAACGTTTCTAAAAACGTTAAACAAATTCTTTTACAAGTAAATCTATCACGGTCTTGAAGATTGAAATTTTCTCTCACAACGACCTTTTGAAACTTGTTGTATTTTGATCAATTTTGAATGTTAGGATTTTTTTGAATTCTCGTTACCTCGGGCCGTAATTATTAAAAGTATTTTAATAACTGAAAATTATAAATAATATTTCTCGAAGTCCTTTGTTTCGCGAGACGCGACACCTTCAGTTTATCCGATAATGTTCCTAGGAGACATGGCTTCCGTCTGGTAACACTCGGAAATTCACAGTTAATTCTCACGATTGTAAATCGTTCTTCATGCTAAAGATAAAGGAGATAAGAAAATGGCTGAGACGGAATACGTGATACCGTGGGTGCAAATGCGGGCGAAACGGGAGTACATTTTGAAAGCATCTAAGCAATATCCCGTGGTAAGAGAACTTTCCAAACGAATACAGAGAGTTTAATAATTAACGTCGAGAAAGAGAGAGAGAGGGAGAGAGAACGGTACTCGTTGAACATTCTATTTCGAGAATAGTTCGTTCGCGGTAAAACTGAGACAATCCCGTGAGATAGGAAAAACCATTTCTCGGCTACGTCCGGAAATCTATCATTCGGGATGAAATTTTCTTATCAGCCGTTCTCTCGATACGGCTATTTTAAGGTAACAAATTACTCTCCGCGTGTTCATTGGAGGATTTTTAAATGTACGCGGTATCGAATATTCGAGAGATAAATGCGAAATCCGAAATATAGGAAGATTTATATAAATGTAGGTTGTTTATGCTCGACCTCTTGAGTTATAGAAAATTTGATTAAACGATGAAAGCTTTTATACAGATATCACGATCACAATTGCCCTGTGCGTGTGTATTTAAGGATAATTGTTGATTTCAGTTGGAACCGTTCGCTCCTCGACATTCGATCACGTATTTTAATAATAACAAAGAAGAGAGCGGAAAATCGGCGTACAAGCGTCTCCACAGCCTGGACTTCGATCTTTCCAAGCCCAGGTGCGATCGTACCAAGCCCGACCTCTATTGGTTAGAAATTTCAAGGGAGAACAAAGGTCACAAGGTCCCGATGACTACTAATCTGTGGTACGGCCGACCGAACAGAGTTCAAGTCGATTTCCCCGAGACCAAATTTAATCGATCGAGCAAAATGCAAGAGTTCTACACACGCTTCGGTTTTAGTCTAGTTAGCGACGAGAGAAACGGATGGCAGATCTGTTAGAATGAATCAACGAGACAAGTATTTCTTCATTCTCTTTTTAATTGAGCATAGAACAAGTTGCCTGTGCATTAAAAAAAAAATCACGCGCGTAGCTGAGTTATCTGTCTCAGCCGATTACCGTTTACATGTTTTCCGAACAAGAGAAAGTTTAGTTTGTAATCATCGATTGACTAAAATAGTGACAAAATATCTTTCTCACAGTAATCCACTGGAATCTCGAACTCGTCGTAGTTCTCACGATTATTTCTTTACCATGGTTTTTAAACAGTGACGTAATAGTTTATGTGGATCTTGAACTCGTTTTTCACATATTCCGCAAAGCAGAAAGTCAACAAACGTTTCACGAATTCGTCCAACACGGCGAGACGAATCAATATCGCATCGTTTAAATTTAAAATTGCTCGCTTTCCGTGGAAGCATGTTTCCTCCGTAGAGATTATTATAATTTTCCGCCATGTAAATGTTTAACGTCTATATAATTTACGTATGATCTGACTTTCCTTGACAAATACCATGAAAATTGGACAATAGTGCAGAACGAACACTACGAAGTAGAGTAACCGTTGTTTTCACGTATCGTATAATTGTGCATAAAGACGTTTATCTTTTATTCGATAAAATTGCTCATTCGGAAATTACGAATAACAAGAATATTAATTTTAAACATCAAAGTGTTGACAAGAAGAACGTATATCTATTCGTGGTTAATGTTATTCGATTTTGACCAGCGTTTAATTTATTTTGTATTTATTGTACTTGTTTGTTTCTTTTTGAAACGTTCGTACGTCATTTGTAAAACTAATTTTGCAATTATTTTATAAATATGAATTTTGTAACTATTTTAACACTTCATATACTTGACAGTAGTATTTTGAACAAGTTTATACTTACATGAGAACTGCTTGATTTTTAGTTTCAGACATTTGATGCATGAATACAAAATAAAACTTCTTTTCTTCCAGATTTTCTGGGTACACTCACAATTTTTCAATTATTTTTATTACACTTTACCAGTCACTTTTATCAGCTATCTTTGATAAGCTGATAGCAGTGGCATTTCTCGGTTATCAGTTAATCCTCGAGTATTTCTTTCTCTGTCACGATGTACCTGAGCGGAGTACAGATTTGGAGTCTACGTTGTTGGACAGATCCAACTGATGAAAGAGGCGGCGAACATGGAACCGTTGTAGCTGTGCATATACGGTTTGCCTCTATACCGAACTTAAACTAGTAGCAACTTTCACCGAGTTTACCGAGAATTCAATACTTCGTAATCATCGTTACAATCCCCACTTTATAAACTTCTCGCCAGAGGTTCATTAATGCAATTATCACGCCTTTCGGTGATGTTACACATTGAAATAACATGAGTAACCAACATGCCTTCCACGTTAATTCCTGGCGAACACAGGAAAGTGAATATTTTTGTCACACGTAGAAAATTCGAAGCAAACGATCCACTTGCTGATCGCAATTCCGTTTCGTCGCGGTAATTTCCGCTTTAGAGATCGACAGTTCCGGTATTGCGAATCTGCCGAAATATTCCTAGTGTATCTGTGTAATTTCGATTTCAAGCGAATTATGAGAAATTCCGAATGTCGTAGGTAATTTTGGCTATTCAAATGTGTGTGCAATGCCGGACAGGGAAAAGTTTTTTAATGATTAAGTTATTTATTCTGCAAAATTGCTTAAAATTCTGGTGCAAAATCTTTGCTTCTTAAACGGTACAAACTCTCTCTTTTCCTATGAAAAATACAAATTCAATTACAGTTTGAACAGAGATAAAAGAACAGTGTTTTGAAATTTTTGAGCGAGTAAAAGTGTACATTATATCTGTCAGTCTCAAGAGACGAGTATTACGAACAAAATATTTACATTTTTAGTTGAGAACATTATCTCTTTAAACAACTGTATATCGTATCTTCTATTAATTTTATTTTACAAATTTTGGAATTGTCCCACGCCACTTGCCTTTTTTTTAAAACTGTCTTCTGTTCCATCTTGAAAGCTACTGCGTCAAACGTACTCCACCACATTTCTGTTCCCAACTGTCATGTCCCAACGCGGAAAGTTGCTGATACCGAGGATCGCTATATTTCCCCCAACATGAGGATGGAAACACCATGAAAAGAAGCACGCGCACTTATGTAGACATAAGTGCATACATCGGCTATATACTTCCGCATCCCGCTACCACCGAAGTTGGCTTCAAGTTTCACGCAAAGTATCAGAGAGATCACTGAAACTCAAAGGCTGGCATAGAAAGTATCGAAACGAATCGACCAGGCTTTATGTAACCGGGAGAACCACTACCCTCCTGGCTGGATGTGTGCAATACGCTTACGACGAATTTATCGATCGATGGCCACAGATTCTGCTGTTGCTTGTTTCAAATCTCACGTTCTATATATGTCCTTCTCGTTGTCCTTGCCCTATCTCGCGTTGTCCTTGCGCGGCCGTCTTAAATAAAATGTACGACCGTAATTTATTGACGTCTCTTGCCGTCTGCTGTATTCTCTATTGCAATACTGAAGTGGAAACACTTTACACGAAGCTATAGATCAATAATTGACACTTTTCTTTTTTTTTTTTTTTTAGAACGTTACGACAATCCTTGTTGCACGTTGCAAAATTGTTGGCGTGAAATTAAAGTAAAACACAAACAAGTTTGTTTCTGTCGAATTTAACAAAGCGTTATTATCCCAAGAAAGTCATTCAAATCAATTTCATAATTCTGCATCGTTTTATTTCTGATCTGTACAAAACCGAGCTCTTTTTACAGCGAAACGTTCAAACGTTCAAACATCAAACCGACTGTTTGCGTCGAATACAAAAACTAGCTAACTTTGACGTTAAAAAGTACCAGTGGCCTTAATATCACTTTTCCAAGAATTGCACGTTTACTCATTGTTCATCGTCGATGGCTGAATTTCTTCGACGTTTCGTTTTAATATCATTTCTTTTTCTTTTTTTTTTTTCGCGGAATCGTCGACGTCGACAACACGAATTGAAAGCAGTCGGCGAACGTTCGCGTGACGAACGAAACGTTGGCTGTTTATCGAAGAAGATTTTGTGCAAATTTATGCGCATACCGGCCACCGGTTATTCATCGTGCCCTCGGAAGAAAAAAACTCCTCTATTGTTTCTGGTTAATCGTTCGGAGGTCAGGGCCAGGCTAACACTTACTTCCAATTCTCCGTTTCACCATTCGTTAATTAAAAGTTTAATTAACCCGTCAATTAATCAGAATTCCGTATTCGGCCTATTGCCTCGCCGTTCTTCGTCACGGTAGGAGAAAAGAATAGGAAAAAAAAAAAAAGATGGCGAGCAGCTCGCGGTAACTGGCAGTTGCCTGTTGGCCTGTTGCTACGTTCGTTGACGGCTGTGCGACCGGCCAATTAAAATGTCGTCACGGTTAGAAAATGTCGTTGTCTAATGACAGTTGAACGAAGTTGGGACCAAGTGAATTTATTATTTGAAAAAAGTTTGTCGCAGTTTGCCGGTCTAAATTCAGCGGTAATGACCGCCAGCTGTACGAGTTTCTCCTCGTGGACGTTGCACCTATGTCGCGTTAAGTCCGTTCGTCGAATAAAATGCTTCACAGTTTTTTGGTTTGACGATTTAATTCCGTTTTTAATTGAATTTGCGTTAGTCGTGATTTGATTTGTTCGTTTTGTACACGGGCGTTCTGGTCGTGGGTGTAATCCATCAATAATCGTTTTCATTTGCGGGTTGTAGTTTTTTTTTTTTCCTCCCAAAGAAAATTTTATTTGTTAAAAAATTGGGGAAAATAGTGTTTCACTATACATTGTGAAATATTACACGTGGAGTTGTTTCACTCGCAAAATTGGAAAGAACAGTTGCATCGACGAAAGGACGACTTGAACGTTTCTACACTTTTTAAAAATAAAAATTATTCACAGTACGCAAGTACCTAATTGCGCTTAAGCGAATGAACGCCACGTCGAAAGCCAATTTAATTTTCTGTTTCGCTCCAATAATACTCTTAATGGTCTTCATTCATTTAAACTAGAACTTGAAAACTTATTGCAACTGTAATCGTCCGATTAATTTAAATGGTCTGAATTCTATAATTCTTCCATATTTCGAAGAACGAGAAGGAATCACTGCGATCAAAATCGCTCGGCGTCTGGTCTGGATGTCGCCGGTGAAAACTCAATCAGCAATAATTGTGTCGCCGTGTACATCGCGCAATATTAGCAAGTCCGCCACCCTTCGTAACTCCGGAACGCAATTAATCGAATTGCCTTTGCTAGCGCAAAGTAACGAAGCCTAAAGGAGATATCTAGAGTGTGACCACATTAATACGTCGCTCTCCAATGAAGTTAAATATATTCTTGGCGAACGGAAATAAATTTCAGCAACTATCAGGATCCCCGAGAAGAAGTTTCTTTGGAATTGTTTTATAGCACCCCGTGGACTTCAAAGCTTTCTCTTTCTCTCTCTCTTTCCCTTCGTCCTTCTGTTTCTTCGTCTTTCTTCCTTTCCTTCTCTCCTACTCTCGAACGGGGTCACACCTTCGTCGCACAGTTCGCTCTGCGATTTTTTTTCTTTCTTTTTTTCAAATTCTTGACACACACGTTATACTTATACTTGCTAAATATTCCAGTGATCGATCACCGACAGATTGGACTTTATTAGCGAGGGGTAAAAAGAAGCAGAAGGCGCGCGTTTAACGCTCGATACTCGGTAAAAGTCTTCCGGTACCTCGATTAATCATTGAACGATTGTTTTGAAACGTGAATATCGAATTTTAATAACTTCGAGTGCTCCTGCACGGTGCTCGATCAAGTTGAAAAATAACGAAACGAGGCGTGTATCTTGAGCAAATATATCGCAGCGTTGAATTAGATCGAGTAGATTGGAAAATTTGTATTTTATTCGTTGCGTTGCCGTTGAAAGATTATTTTTCTATTTTTGTTTCTTTTTTTCACTTTTTTTTTTTTCACGTGTCGACGACAACGAGGGGAAACGAAATATTAAGAGTCCTCAAGCAAAATTACGTTCTCTGCAATTACGTTCAACGTTAAGCAAATGTAAATATTTACTTGGGTGTTTTCTTGAATATCTATCTGGAAATGCAGTCACATGAAATTCAGTTCAGCGAATTATTTCGTCGTGTCATCAGATTTGATTCACTTTTTCACTTGAACGCCAAAGCGAGCTGTACGCAGATTTCCAAAGCGGTAGATGGATCATTTATTGAAAGCAACTGACGGTTCTGTAAAGTGAATATCGTTTCGTAAAATATATATTTTGATTTTCTGTTTCAATATGTATGTTCAAATTATGTTATATGTAATCTCGAATGAACAGTGATTTGAATTTCGGCATTGTCAACATTATAAATCTCAACAGTTAGATGTAAATAATATTTTAATTATTTTTTTTATTCAAATTAACATTGCCTTTAGCTATTTCTAGTTGTCACCACTACACTGCAAAATAAAATTACATTCTATTCCTTTTCCGATTCGCGTATTTCTAGAAGCCGATCGATTCGATATTAATCCCTCAAGGATCAGCATTCCCAAAAGAAATCAGTCGTTGCATGCTTTCTACCTACCCAAGAGATTCGAGTGAAAGTGCAAATTTAAATTAATCTGCGAACAGTTTTGCAAACCACGGTAAAACATATACTCGGTATTTGTCAAGCTTTGTTTTTTAATTTTCTTATAATTTATAAAATTCCTCGCGACATTGGTACATCGCGATCGTCAACGTTTCCGTTTTACGCTCTTCTAATATTTATTTAGGTTTTCCTTATATGGATGTGCTATTTATATCTTTCGAGACACGTTTCAACTCGGCATTGTCTTTATTAAATAACCGACGTGCTTGGTTTGTGAAGTTTACACGGAAATTGAGAGTGACAACTCGAGGCAGAAGAGTAAAATTTATAATTCACAGAATGTGTTGCACGTTTCTATCTTTTGACATCGTCGAATAATTTAAAACTACCCGTCAGTCGATAAACCATTTATCGCTAGTGATATTTCGGAGTTTTTTGTCTGTATAAAAAAAAAAAAAATTTCTCTTCGCAACGTGCACATATATGCACTGCAGATCGCAATAAGCTACTTTTTTATTTTTAGAAAACATATTTGTTTGTTAACGTTCGACAATCGTATTTAGCAACGCTTTACAATAAATACTTTTTTTTTTTTAGATTTTCATCGAATTTGGAAACCTGCGAATTTACTATGACATTTAGCGCGTGCGCAAACATTTGAACTCTAGTAATAAATTGACATGGAAAAGTTACAAAGCGGATTTTATCAAAATTCATAATTTCGTCAAACTTTCACTTTCGACATCCAATAACCGTTTGTTTTATTTTGGCATGTATTTTATGCGTCGGGTAATAGTTATGTGACGATTCCTATATATTAATTAAGTTGTAATAGCGAGAATTTAAATATTATAGTATTTGTAAATAAACATTTTAGTCCGAGAATTTTATTTGAATTGCATTTCATGTATACTAATAAATTCATGAAATATTTATAAATGCTATTTGCATACTATACCATTATTTTTGGTATATTTTGTTAAAATGATCCAAAGATGTTATAAAACCACGATCATATATTTCGTTCATATATTTCGTTCGCACACGACAAATTTATAACTGAAGATTGCAAAAATACTTCCCTGTTTTCTTTGCATAAGAAACAAAAGAATCAGTGTCTCGAACTTTAAAATTAACGTGTCGTAAAGAATTTGCTTGATGATGGTGTTAAATGATAATGCCAAGTCAAGCAAGCCTTTGCTCTGAAACATTGAGTTACATATTTATAGTGCGATTATATTTTATTTAGGTAATCATCGTTTCGTGCAATCTTGTAATCGTTATTGACACAAGGCGAGATGTTATCTCGACGTCTTTGCGAGAGAAACGCGCAAAATCCAACGGAACATGTGTGCGGAAATAAATCCACTAGATCACACGGTCGAGAAAAGTTCGGTTTACGAGTATCTGGTTTTTCGACTGTGAAACTCCGTTGGTCCACGGCATTTTTACGAAGCCGAAATTCCAAAGTCGAAAAACTACAGTAAAATGTCTCGCGCCAGTAAATTTTTCTCGTACACGCACGTTATCGTAGTCTTGAGTTTCCTTTCCGTGATAAATCATTAAGAGACATACCCGACAGATTTACAGATATAAATCATTACAATCTGAATGTTGGATCTCTTATTTTTCCGTATCTTCGCTCCCTCCCGATTCCCTTGACTTCACGTGGTAACTGTCAGCTACGGACGCGGTGTTTGTCGAAGAATCACTTCCCAGTCTTTCCTCAAACGCATCAACGTTCTTATTTACGATCACGCGGGCGCGGGGAACGCGAACAAGATCGTCTATAAAGGTATTGCCTTTGTCCAGATAGTTTCAACGTGTTTTCAGCGACATGGCGACGATCAGTGCCGATCCGGCTTGCCGTTTGACCGACTCGGCCAAGCCGCAGCCCCGCACCGCGAGAGAGGAACTAACCGCTCTTCTCCTCGATTCCGACATCAATAAGATCGTCGAGCGGAAACTTCGCTCGAATAACTTTCGCGTTTTGCATTGGAGTTTGGATAGCTTGGGGGAGACGAATGGTTTCTTGGGCTCGTACTACACGCTCTCGGTGACGGTGAAAATCGACGACAAATCGAAGCATTTCAAATTCTTCGTGAAAACACCGCCGCCAACCACCAGCCCGCAGTACGATTTCCTAGCGAATACCGATGTGTTCAACAAGGAAATCGTTGTCTACAGTGAGATAGTGCCGAGGATGGGCGTAGGGAACGGTTCCAAGTGGTTACCGGATTATTATCTCGGCAAGAGTAACGTCATAATAGTCTTGGAGGACGCCAAGCAGAGCGGTTACGTTACCCCGGATAAATATCAGCCCTTCGACGAGGAACACTGCATTTTGGTGGCAAAGACGCTTTCCATCTTGCACTCGAGGTCCTTGATACTGGACGAGAAGCTTCGTCGTAACAACGGTCAAACGATCTTCGATCTTTACGGAGAGTATCTGAAGGAAGTGGCTTTCGTCGAGGGCGAGGAGGTGGTGGAAAAGTACATTTCCTCCTGCTTCAAAGGCGCGTGCACCATAATTGATATGCACGAGGGATTGAGTTGCGACGAGGCGACTGTTATTAAGAATTGCGTAAACAAGTGGATGAAGAAGTTGCCAGAGTGGGTGCAGTCGTCGGAGAAGTACAGGAACGTGATGTGCCATCGGGATCTATGGGCGAACAATATCATGTTCAAGAGAGATTCCGCTGGTAAGCCGATCGGTTGTTATCTGGTAGATTTCCAATTCTTACGGTACAATCCACCGGCGTTTGATTTTGTCATCTGCTTTTACTTGTCGACCGATCGCGCTACCAGACGTCGATGTCACGATTTGCTCCTCGACGTCTACTACGACACCATGAAGGAAGAATTGAGCGCGGAAGGTCTCGACGTCGAGGCTTGTTTGCCTCGTGCACAGTTCGTCGAGAGCTGCAAGGATGCGAAAGTGTTGGCACTGACGTACGCGGTTACTAATTTGCAAATAATGTTGCTAACGCAACAAGCCGCGGAGGAGTACTTCGTACGATCGACCGATCAACTGGAGCACGTCCTGTACGGTGATCAGCGGCCCGACCTAATTAAAAGTCAATGTCGCAGCAAGAAATCGTTTCAGTCACGTATCACAGAGATAGTGGATGAAATTAGAGAGTACCTGGCCGCTAATCCAGACAAATGCTAGCGGACGAGACAGGAAAACAGCGATACCGGTTGTTACTGGATTATCGGTCGTTTGTATCTGTATCATCGTCCGTGATGAAAGGACCTTGGAATTAGATCACCGAAGAGGTTGCCCTTATTTCGGAATCTACGATTCGCCATTGTATTAAATCTCTGGCGAGGTGTGTTGGAGCTCGTGAGAAAGGCAACGAGGACCAAGATCGATCGATGACATCAGCTTAGGTTTTGCCAAGATATCTCTACCGGAATATCGCAAGGCGTTTAATCTGGTAGCCTAATTTCTTTTTTTACACACGAGAATAGTCGTTTCTTTTTCTTTTATTTTTTCGTATCTTTAGAAATTGTTACGCTGTAATACGTTTAATACATGTTTGGTGTACTGTTACGTAATACGAATGTTGTATACAATAGATGTTTAACGCGTGGATAATGACAGGAAATAAATCTCAAGTAAATAGCTGTTTTTACGTTCCTGTACGAATTACGTGTATTCATGAAGCACAATTTTTATAGTATACTTTAGTCTTTCTATGACAATTGATGGCAAAAGGTAATATATTACGTGTGAACAAATACATATACAAGGAGTATTTTCCTTCCTAATTTTATTTCTCTCTTCTTCTTTCTTTTTCTCCTTCTCTTTGTCACGTCGTTTCATCATTTTTCCCATCCCAGTTTTTCCTGACAGCATTCAATAGATATAAAGCGAACACCATGTCAGCTTCAATACCGCATCGTTGTCCATTTGGTATTTAAAATAGTCATCGCTTTAAAATTATTCGTTGTCTTTCAATGTGTTATTTCCTCGTTATGCAACATTTTGATGTAAATATTTTATTCGATGGACTTGATGCCACGCATGGCAGCTTTGTTAAATGGAGAATCGTTTCCACAAGAACTCAAAATCATTGTGCGATACGATGCCTTGCCAGCTTAAACGGCGCCATCGTTCTTCGTTAGTCCGAACTTTGTCGTAAAAGGGAAAAGGGATTACGGTCCGTAATAAACTTTGTTGAAACCCTGCGAGGAAGGATAGGAACTTTTAATATTTAAAGTAACTTTTCACTACTAATCCTAACTCTTTACAGATTCGATACACGTCACGATTGTCGTGAGCAATCCTTTTCTGCATGGAAAAATATGTGCCCGTACTAATAAAATAAAACATATTAATCGGTTTTCTTTTTTCACTCGATAGTGCTTAAACAGTTCTTCCTTCTTCTGTACCAACACAAGTATTTAAAATTCAGTGAGACGAATATGTCATCACTCATTATTTTCTACTGGTTCAAAAATCACACTGCATACCAAACTGCATCTGAAAAGATCTGCGACGAAACAAGTAAATCTTTTGATAAATAAAACGAGAGATAAAATGTATGACTCTTTTAACTGAGATAAAACGTATGAATAAGATTGTTTATAATTATTTTTATACCGTTATAAATAGAAATTATAAACCTGATATAAAATGTCCTGTAATAATAATTTTACCGAGGATTGATTCAAATATTTACTATAAAGATTATTTTTCAAATTTTCGATGTTGTCTTGCTTTTAAATAAAAATCAATTTATTTTCCATAAAATTATAAAAATTATAGATATTAAAAATATATATTTAGTGATATTATTAAATTGTAGATTTATATATACATTTATATATAATTTAAGAGTGCAAAGAATTTCCTATTTATATATATTTTCTTCGAAATGTTTATTGCGAAAACGAGAACTCGCGTGGATGAGAAACGAGTAAATTAGGATGCATTGTGCCATACATAAGAGTGCAATATAATTGGGAAGCAAGAGAGTTCTTGCGAATCGTGGAAAAATTGAAAATGAGAATTAAAAAAAGAACAGAAAAAAATGAACCGCACTGAGTAAAAGTTAAAGTTCAATTATTGTCCTATCGTTTTCTTTTTTTTATTGTTGAATATAGTTTTATTTCGTACATAAATAAAATATTATTTGCAAACATTTCTTACGTTATTTTCTCTTGAAATACCACAGAGAATGAAACTCTCTTTGAGAAAGGGAGAGTCTCTTTGAAGTAAATCGCTATTTCTTTTCTGTGAAAAAAACAAATTTCTACGGTCTGAAGGTACACAATTATCTTACAGTTTTATACGTTCTTGCAAGAGCTTGGAAATCAATAACTGATGAGAAAATAAGCACGTTACATAAAGTATCGTCAATTCATGTGAGTATACACTACTAATTATTCGAATACTGAATCGAAACATCAAATGAAGAACATTTTCTATGAACTGTTGATTATAATCTCCAAGTGTTTAGATACCCATATTTGCACATATGACTCAAAGAAAATAGGTATTTCATACCTTATCGAATACTTTTTGTAATAATTAATTATTCATATTATCTTCTCCTCATGTTCAAACTTGTCGAATTTTATCGAGGTAGAATTAAAATTGAATTATTGAAACAGAATTGAAATTCAACGTTTCAGAATGTTGAAAAATATTTCAACACGGGGGAAACAATCGTAATGAATTGTTGGCGAATTTATTCTTGTGCAATAATCGAGCAGTCGATATTCCTCGTTCGCGAAATGAGGAACACCCAGTTCCATTCAATGGTCCGTAATGTTATGTCAGATTAAAGCAGAAGTTCGTTTTACGGCCGGCAATTCGGAGCAGCCGTAATCGTTTCTGTGTCGGGCTAATGACATCACCCGTAAAACGTAAATTGCGCTGGTTATCAATGACAGGCTTGATACTATTGAATTGTAAATACAATAATGCATGAATGCATTGTCATTACTTCCTTCTAGCCATCTTTTTATTTTCATCAATTGGCGTATTCACGCATTTGATATTTTTCAACCAATGGAATTGCATATAAATAAGAAGATGAGTGTGAGACGATAACTTACACGTCCATATTTTTAGGTGGCTACGTGAAATTATTTTAACACAATCCGAGTTGTAAAATTCCTCTATTGCAATGTATAACAAAAATTTACATATCTACATATTCTTATTTAAAAATTAACATCGATTTCACAATTTATTAACTTTATTTTTTGAAAATGAGAAATTAATTAACTCTTTACAAAATTAAAGCAACGTTTTAGAAAATTATTTTATGATCTAGTCAGAATTATTAGATTTAATCAGAAATGAATAGATTGTTGGAAATAAATCCTTCAATGTGCCTCTTGTTTCTTCTGATTCATTTAAATGTTCAATTGAATGATCAAAACCTACAGTTCGACAAGTCACCGCGTCTGCGATGACTAAAACATCGATTGAACGAGATAAAATGCTAATACAATTCCACAACATGGAACTCCAACAAACGAAAACGTTGTGAATTGGAATTGATGAGGCATCATCAACAAATTATGTGCGATAGAATAAGTGATAGAAATGAAAAATATATTCCTAGATTATATATGTTCTACAAATTTTATAACTTTTATTAAAATTATGCCAAGTTTTATTTTTCAATATCTATAGATCTTACTCTTTCGATAAAAGTTCTTTTTATCATGGATTGTACTAATACTTTTGTTATTGTGATTTATAACGCGTAATCAATTACCTTTATAATGCGTAATCAAAGCAAATTCAATTAATTGATTATTATTTTATTCAATATCTATAATGACGTACAATGTGTATAATGGCATAGTAGCACATTATTAATACGAAGCTCTTTGTTAATAGGGATTTGTTTCCAGTACTATTATTTTCACAGGAAAACAGAAAATTATGCGTAATGATTAATGTTGCGTTGCAATAATTCTTGGAAATAGTTGCCAGTATAGTAGAATTATCCCGCGGGTCATGCGATTTCGAGCGATCAGTGCAAAATTACCAGCGTATCGAGAGGAACGTTGTGCCAAGCTTGTTAATCACAAAAGCTTGCTGTTTCTCGCGTGCTCATTATACTTCGTAGACCACAAGCTTTCCATTGAACGATGTAGAATTATCATCGATCAACCGATAGCATTACGATTCCATTATCTGCATCTGCGCTAAACTCGACCTGACTAACCCTTGCTCGTTACGAAGAGCCTGCATCTAACTGTAATCCTACAATTATGCTACTTTGTGAATATTGTCAGTGCCTACAGAAGTACTCTTTAACTAGAAACTATTCCGAAAATTCACTCGAAACGTTTCTCATCAATAGCCTACAATACTTGCAATAAAAAAATTTCACTTGTTATCAAAATAAAAACATATTGCTAATACCTTTTTGGTAGTACGTGTAGTTTCTTGCTGAAAAGCAAAGTATTAAATGAATAAACAAAGCGTTTTGGAAAATCTACATATGTGAAAAGATGATAGGAAATATTTTCTTGTTACCGGTGAACTTAATAGGTATGAGAATTTCTCTTTCAGTTTCGAAGACATCAGCAAGTTTCTTTGTTGGCAAGGTTTTAATGGTAGCAAACTGTGTTAACAGGTTCATGTCTCTTTGACTTTTCTGTGACTTCTTTCCAATTGTACCAATTGTACAGGTTCGGTAATGCCAAGGTCCTTGCGACACTTCTTTCCACTTTCCCAGGGGAGAAAAGTGCTTATTAGAAAGACGTGTGGGACAGTGCCCATTGCCAAATTGGTTGGAACACTTGGACGACTTTCTACGCGATTAAATCATTTCTTTACCTGGGATACTCGACTTGGCGATCATCGTGGCACTGCAGTTAGTTTAACCTTTTTTCTTTACGATTGATGTTGTGTATAATTTTACTTTGCGATGCAATTACCAAATGACAAACACACGTATTTGTACTCAAATTGGTCTTGATATTACAAAAGTTATATTTCCAGTCTCAATAACTTTTTTACACATTCAACCAAAGAAACATCCAAACCCGAAGAGGTTATAAATGATCGTATAATTTAAACTTCAACTACGCGGACTGTTTCTTCGAAACAATAACAACTGTTCAGAGTGCCACATCGACACGATAATCGCGCGAAGTTAATTGAGGTTAGCTCGAAAGATGGAAATTCTTTGTTCAGTCGGTATTGAAAAATTCTAGAATGCGATTTGATGACGTAATGTTCCTACAGTGTTGACGGGAAATCTTATCGACGGTCAAGGGATAAGTTCCGGTGGAGGACAAAGAGGCTAATGACATTCGACGGGACAGCAGCACATCCGTTTACGAAATGCTCGTGGGATATACTGGCGCGTTGCGTCGATTGCACGAAATCTCGTGGCTCGTGGTGACGGGTGCGAAGGGCGCAGGCGTCCGGCGTCTGGTATCCGGTGGCGGCAAGCGGGCTCCGATTTTCTCTAGTGTCGCGTCAACTGCCGCTGGAGAGTCGTGTGCGTTGCACCCTGTTGTCTCTAACCACCCTGTTTCGCGTGTTTTTGGCCCCGTCACGTTCGTGTTGTCCGAACAGGGGACAGGTCACGTTCGCGAGAACGTTTCGAAGTCCGATTTCGAGTCGTAAGTTTCGTGTCGTCGCTATCGTTTCGCGTCGATACGATCGTGTAAACGTATCACGGATGCCTTACCGCCGGTCGGTAGTTCTCGCGATCACGCCGCGAACATGACATTCAAACGTGTCGCGTGAAACCGTTGTAACTTTTTCTACAGGTTGACCGTTGCCTGTACGAAACGAGTTTGTAACAAAGAACAAGGGAATAAAGTGTACGTGGCGAGTGTGTTTATTCGTTCGTTTCGCGTGAAGCGGTAGCGGATAATTTCGCGATTGGGGGACGAGTGCCGAGGTTGAGGTTAGATCGAGTGTGTTCGTTAGGGCGCGCGTTAGAGGGTACATTTCCCCGCCCCCCACCCCCAGCCCGTTTCGATCGTGTTCAAAATTTACAATCTCACTGCCGGCTTGTTGGTCGCGGTTGGCCTCCGAGTGCCTAACAGTGTACTTAAATATTCCGATGAACGACGGTGTGTGAAGAGAGCAATTTGGAGAGGGAAGTGCGTCGAACATGAATTGGTGCAAACTGCGAGCTGTCGTGTATTCAGCGGAGATGTCGCCCGGCTGCGAAGGAATGCTTGTATCGGGCGCCGAAGCATGAGGGACGTCACATCTTTAACGTAATGGTGAGTTGTGCAAAGTTTTGTCTTTTCCTTTACGAGTACTTCGATTCGAACTTGGGTTCGGATGTCGATGCAATTGGTTAGACGCGACACACCAGACTTTCGAAACTGTACCTGGAAATGCTGAAATCGCACATGGCGTGGCTATAAATCTTTCGGAAAGAGTAGTGCATACCCAGCAGCGTGTTGGTGCGTGTTTGTTTTCAGAAACGCTTGCTCGTATCATTGTTGTTTCCACGAGACACTTCTGTGCGGTTAAAAAATTGGTAAAAAAACCTTCACACGACGAGTGTATCGTGGTGGATTCACGTACATGCTTCGCTGAATTGTACGCGGCTGCGATTTTTGAATTTCTTTGTAGCGTAACCATGTAAAAATATCGCAGTCAAATGGCTTAAAGCAATGGTTTGAGCATTGGTTCGCGTGGTACACCTCTTTTCGTTTTTAGTTTCTTTTTCTTTTTTCTTTTTTTTTATTTTCCTTTTTTTTTGCTGCTGAACACTTTAACGTTCGAGCTTCGGTTTTATTTGCGCTGTTTCATAGTAAACTCGTCGGACATGACATTGATTTTCCGGATTAATGCTCTACCGGTATTTTTTTTTTTTTTTATAGAATCTCTTTTATTTGCCATCGGAAATAAAATCGCGAAATAATTGTGCTTCCGCCTCGAATTACGTTCAGATATATTTTAACATTTATCTGTTAAAATGATTGCAGAGAAATTAAATTACGTCTTTCACTTTGCTAATTATGTTTTTAAATTTCTGCTTAAATTCGAGAAAAGAGTGATAAATATCTCAGTCGATTGAAATAATAAGTACCTGTTTATTTTGTTAATTATACTTGTATTAGTTGAAATGTGAAATTGTCGCGGAGGTAGCGCTTTTTTTTCAGAAACGTTCCGTGTTATAAAGCAATAAAGGTGGTAATGGTATGCAAATGATGGTTAATAAACAGTAGTAAATTCCGATTTGTTTTCATTATTATGTTGTACTTCGATATTACCGCGAGTAAATTGATTTAAATCTGTATATACGTAATGGGATCTATCGTTTACACTTTGCAAACACGTGACACGAAATATATGTTAATACACAGATGGAGTTACTCGAATCTTAGAGGAAGAATATTTGCGGCATTTTTAAAAGAAATTTTTAGAACAAAAAATTTAAATATCTCCGAAAATACGAACTATGTTATGAAATCTTCATAAGTAAATGTTTTTTTACGTATATTAAAATAATGTTTTCCATTCAAGTACATTTCATTAAAAATTCATTTAAAATGTAGTACTTGGATCGCAAATGAAGATACAGTACATTTAAAATACGAACACAAAACCGGCACTCTTTGATACTAGCGCGTACGATATTTATGGGATCACGTAGTACGTGAACGTCTCGTTTGAAAAAAGATAAAAACAATGTAGGAGAAGCTTTTGCTCTGATTTACTTCTGCCTTTAGTTTATGCTCGCTTTAATGTTTTTCCGGGTGTGCCGACGCTTTTTTGTCGAAAACGTTAGCTCGACGTTTCTGCGAAAGTATAGAAGAGAAAAGGTGGCAATCAGCCATTAACGGCACGTGTCGAGGCGCGCAATTTACATATCTAGGGGCTGTGTGTGTGTGTCTGCTCTAGGTCAGACATAATGGCACCCACGATTTTACTATACACTACATATTATCCCACTTTGCGTTATACACGTCGATAGCACGATACCTGGACAATCTGAACTGATCGTATCAACTGTTTAATCGCTTTATCCTAACTGCACAATGGAAGAATGATGCTCTGAGCATTGGTCGAGGACTGGTTTGGCCGGTTTCAGCAATTAGCTTAAATATCGCTTACATTGACATTAATCGACGTATCTCGCCGATTCGAAATCAATTACGCGCATTAGCTGTTTTAAAGCAGTCGGCTGTGTCGCTTGTTCGCATTTTTTCTCAAAGTAGTTTCATACCGATATCTATATCATGGTTATTAGATAAAACGATAAAGATATCTTTGTTCCTTCGGTACGAGAGAATTTATCTCACTGCTGTTATCCTTTTTTTTTTCATCAAATTTAATTTATCTACCACAAAGGAATTCTATCTCTTACGCACGTACGTCTCTTTCATTTAATTAGTCTCGGTTTCACTTTGTGTGTCTGAATTTATTTCATTGCTGTTGTATAATTTACCAAAGTGTACTTTCTCTTAAATATTCCCTTCAATTATCGGAAATGAATCGAACTAACAGATTATTTTAATTTTCAAATTAAATGTTTCATGGAGTACAATACGAGAGTAAGATCTGTATGAATGTTTATGCTACTAGCATCTACAGCAGATATTGTACATGGAATGCATAGTTGTCATATGCAAATTTGCCTGTGTGTGACAAAAGTGGTAGCTTTAAAGCGGTGACAATGCTTACCTCGTTGCTTGATAAAAGACAAAGCCTCATAGGAGACTGTCTAAATATTGCACAGTCAATAAAACAGATACAATATAATATTGGGAAGACAGGAATGTGAAAATAAGTGAAATAGATCGATGATACTGTAATACAGTTTGGTTGGATTAATCAACTGACTAACAATACGAATCAGTCTGTCTTGCCGTGTATTAGCATTGATTAACATATCGATAAAGGACTCGGTTGCAGTGAAATCACCACAGTGACTAGTCGGAAGACTAGAAGTTTGCCTCGAAATATATCCACGTGTACCGAAGTTACATCGTGCAATTGAAATGAGTTTTACTATAGACGTTGAGACGGAGAAGATATCGTTCCTTGATGTCACATTTAATTTAATTAATTGTCGAAAGTGATCAAATCATTATCTTTCATAGAAATTTGATAGAATTACTAACTTTGATCGAATCATCCGATAGATAGTCGTGAAAAGAAATAAAGCGTAAGAGTGAGAAACAGAGTACTTCACATTTGCTGTCTTTCTATTCCATAAAAAAACGTTAAAATTAAAAACAACGTCCAGTCTTCTCATTTATTATAATCTAATCAACACTGCTTTTTGCCTCTTCGCGGGCTCGCAGTCATTTCCCTCCGTTCGAAAAATTCATCATCCATTCTACTCGATTATTACAGAATGGTACCGGGGGAATCCGTTGAGTGCAACTTGACAGATCACTTCGAGGCTCGCAGTTTGATAGAGATTTCCACTCGCGGTCGGCCGGATTACGATAAAATTCATCACGGGCTAACGGGCGTTTCTGGCTAAAGATCGAATCGATGATTAAGTACAGGCTACTCTGGAAACTAATTAGAAAGTTGTTCAATTTTTCACCGTTCCCAACTGTTCGTTTTCTCACTCGGAGATTAATCTTTCTCTTGATCTTTCCGCTCGTGCATAAAAAATGATTTGGAGAGAATGTCGAGTAGCCCAGTGTACAGGCTAGAGGGCAGGAGAGAGAGGCATCTGGTTGGACTTTCGGTTCCAAAGTTTCGCGGTTTTGCGACAAAAGGCCGTCGTTCCGTCGTTTACCCGAGGGTCCGGGGATACTTTTCACGGGCAATGATTTATTCGGTAACCAGTAGATTGCCGTTACTGAGACACCGGAGTGTGCGCGGCTTGATGCGCGCGCGAGTCCTCGTACACGTGACACGGGAATCACGCCATTCACGCGCTCGTGTATTTCATTTACAAGCGTTGCGCTCGTTGCAGGAAGTTCTTCAATTGTTGCCCCCTTTCGCACCTTGGAAATTGATTTCTCGTGTCCGTTTCGCATCATCGGCCATTTCTCTTCATTCATTATCTCCTCGAACTGGTATTCTTCATTAAATGCAAATACAGGTACAACGAACGAAAAAAAAAAAAAAGAAAAACCGTGACGTCTCACCACGATGATGACCAAACTACGGATGTAAAGTTCCTTTCATTCATGAACATAGTTAACTAAATATAATCTGAGCAAAAGTTTGTTTCGTCGCGAGTACTTATATAACACAACCTATGCATTCTGTGCTTTAAATTTGTCACGAATAACTATTGTTCGGCCTTGCCGAACACAAAGGAGATGGGGTTCGCACCGCGAAGGACCAACTCATCGAGTCAGGGAAAGTAATTTTACAATTTCTAATTTCTCGACGGCAGGGATCTCTCGTGACCATATTTTATGTCCTTCGTTATCTTGCATCTTCTATTGTAGTCACACCGGACTACTAATTCCAAAGTTCGTCATGCTCGATACTCAATTTTAAGGCTCGATGAAGGACTTCATCGCAACTT